TTGTTTGCTGTCGTGGAGAGCTGAGGCGTATCTCTTCCACATAGTACAGTTGAGAGCTATCAAGTCTGAGGACTGACAAGTCTCACTGTCGTTAAAGTCTGATTTGATGGCCGACTGTTGAATTCATTTTTCTGTTCCCAGGAAAGCGTTTGACTGAGCTGCATCGGATGTGTCTGAAGACTGACAAAGTCTCACTGATACATATGTACAGGTATGTGCAGCTGAGCTGATAAACAAGGCGGCAACAATGATTCATTTCAATCTCACCCCTCCGGAGGGGGAAATGTTTATTCAAATAATATTATTAAAATAGGAAGGAAGGTCCTTTATTTCCTCTGAGGCAAACCCCCACTAAACACCAATCACATTCAACTCCTTCGCAAACCATTTACGTGAATATTCAATATTTGGGACTGACATCTGCACTGCCAAAACCAGGGTCAAGAAAACACATACCCCAGTCGCTTCACGTGTCCCACCTCAGACACGTTCTCCATCCGATAATCATCCAGCTTCTTGCATATTATGCTCTCGCCAATTCTGCGCATGTTTGCGTGCGTGTGATGAGAATCAGCAGGAAGTAGACAGGTTAAAAGAAAAGAAAAACGATGCCAGCACAAGCAATTAGGCCCAACAGCAGAGAGCAACATCGATTGATCATTTCGTTGTCATTTGAACTACTTTCCTCTGCTTTCTGCTTGCTCTTCCAGCCTTCCTCCATTCTTCCATTTCTCTATGTACCCATCCCTCCCTTTCTCCCTCCCTCCTGCTCCCTCTTTCTCCCTCACACTGGCGCTGCATCCCTGGCCCCCTCCCTCCCCATCCATGCCTCCCTCCCTCCCTCCCTCCTGGAGCACCAACTGGGTCTGGGCCTGGTTAATTGGAGTGGCTGAGGTTCAGCCTGCCTTCCAACCGTATCACTAGGGCCGGGCTGATTTTCCACGGGTGGCCCTTTACTGGGCACCACCGAGGCCTGAAGCCTTGCAAAAGTTGCAAATTTACTTCTTTTTTTTTTTTTTTTTTTTTTGGGAAAA